TAATAATAAATAATAAAAAAATTTTTTTTTCTTTTTTTTTTTTTTTTAAATACAAAGAAAAATGATTATATGATATGCATGATGATATTAAAGAAACAAAATAAATAAATTATTAGCCAAATTTGGAGTATAGGTTGCAAACAATGGTAAACAGTTGTCTTTCACTGTTAATTATTAGCAGCACACAATCTATTAAATTACTTTCACACCTTTGAAGCCACTCAATCACGTCCAAGTTACTTATAATTTTTCTTCATAATTATAGTTGTAAGGATCAACAAAGTTACTTTGAAAATGATGAGGAATATGGGATGGATGAAGTCCACGATAAGGTGGAGGTGAGATAAGTGCCTCTGGAGGTGGGGTAGTTGAAGCCAATGAATTTGATTTTTCGTAAGGTGGCAATTTAGTCGCGGATAAGGATGGGGATGGCGGCGCCATTCCTTCTTTGTTGTAGACAGAGAGATTTGGTGGAGGTATCGTATTCATTGTTGGTGATGATTTTATGTCAGAAGCACTATCGTTTGAAGAAGGAGTGACAGAGGAAGAGGTATTGCTATTCAAATTGCTGGTAGAGTCGTTGGTAGCAGCAGGTGGAGTTGAAAGAGTTGCAGATGATGATTGTGCTGTCAAAGTAGAAGTTGTAGATGATGCAAGATTATTTAAATTATTGTTGTTGTTGTTATTGAGGGATCTATTATTATAATAATTGGGCATAGTAATAGGAAATTGATTATTAATATATCTATGTTGAAAAGCCAATTCATATTGCTTTCTATAATAATCATTGAATCTTTCATTATTATTAAAATTTTTTTCGTTTTTATAATTATTATTAATTTTTTTTTCATTAATACCATACCGAACCTTTCGAGCTTTTGTAATTTATAGATTTTGATATCAAGTATAAGTCTACTTAGTAAAGTAAAAACGGTTTTATTTAAGAAAACGTTACTTTTTTTAGTAAGGACTCTTTTCATTTTACGTTACACAACTTGTGTAAATTTTGCATTTATAACAAAAATAAATATACGAGGCCACACATATTATTTACAGGTTAAACGAAAAGCCCCTGCGTAGTTTGACTTCATGCATTAAATTTTTAATTTGTCGACATGCTGTGATCCAAAACTTTTTCTTAGTTTAGGGGAACCTTAACCGAAACTAGTTTAGGTAGTTTGGGATTAATATTCTTAAATTAGAGCATCATCTCTAACACTTTTTTTTTTTACGATTTTTCTCAAATAAATTTTTAATTGAATCTGATTTAATTTGTTAAACAAAAGATTAAAGTTTTAAAAATTACTTTTTTTCCAAATAATT